TGTTACTTTTCATAGTTTTATAGAAATTAAAGCGTTGCCAATGAACACACAGTGCCAACGCGAATGTATAGGAATTGTTTGACATTTGCAGTTTTAATATCATTGAAATGACGACAGGTTTTGACAGCATTGGGCTAGATACCGCGCATGAGCAGTTTATCTGGCGCGAAATCTCGTCGGACTGATTCTGTGTAAAYGAAAYGGTTTGCAGCCGACAAACACGAAAAACGAACGAATATTCAAGACCATCAGACCCGTATCGTCGTGAAATCACACGAACATTTCAAAARGAAAKAAAGAAATATTTTTCTTTTTGAAAGTTGGAATTTGCAGTTTATTCTAGTTGCAAACAAAGTTGACGTTTTGAAAAGCTAATACTCGATAATACTCCCGCTATTACAAGACTTTTATTACATTTTACAGTCTAGGTGTAGAAGCGGAAGCATTTATATATGATTTTTTTATGAATCCAAACTGATTTTTTCTAATAGTCTTCACGGTTCCATGCGCCATCTTGAAACATAATAACACAAAACATAATGAACAATAATCACCACTTCGCTATCGAGAAACTAAAATCGTACGTGTAAACAGGCCTGAGATTGTTGYGGCGATGGAAAACTGCCGCAAAGTTACAAAGCCGCAAAGTTACAGCCAATTTTTAATCATGTTCGAAACTCAGGCGATGGTTGCGCAACGTTCGACGCGAGAAACGCACTGCAAAAATCGGAATTGTAAACGGGCCTTGATAGATACCTGTGAATAATTGTCTCTATGTGAACGGAGATTTCTATGCCTGTGCGCTCAACGTTGGCCTTGCTTCGATGCAAAGGCACGGCTTCTTTTCAAAATTGTGCAAAGAGACTTTCGTACTTGATTCCTGGCTTGTCAAGTTTTAGTCGTGACTTMTAATATTTCTTAAACACAAAATTCAGGATTTCTCCATATTTCAAAGTTGTTGCCTATCATTCTCTTATGTTTTCTGATTCCGCTTGCAACAAGAATTTTCAAGTATACTTTTTATTAAATCTTATTCTAGACTCAGATGATTTTTGAGCCAACAAAGTCAGTTTTAACATATTTCAGRTAAGTATTTATATCAAATACTCTCGATGGAGCCCGCCGCTTCAGAAAAATTTGCCTTTGACTAATAAAAACTGCGACTTTTTTGAAAACATCCAGTTTCTGTGGGCAACTAAAACAGCATCTTGACATGATGGTGGCCTTTGTTTTTCTTTCGCACGTCCATCTCGGCTCGCGAAGGGCTGAGCAAACAAAGGTTTTATTGARGAATCTAAGTTAATTTGATAAGCTTTTTGTTCCTTTGTTAGTGCAGGTATCAATGAAGCCTTTCAGCCTTTCAATTTGTCAAGTTTGTGATAATTTCAAGTAGTTCAATTAAACTTTTTATGATCTAGCATATTTAATAGCAAAAAAAAATTTCTAAAATCATATTTAATATTTTTGATGTGTATAGGTGAGAATGTTCTGATATTTTTGAAAATTGATGACTTCTCATTTTAAAAGTTCTTATGAAATAATCTCGCTGATTTCGTATGTTCCTAATAAAATGATGACAGCAAATGGCCAACTTAAGTCGAGGGACATAATTGTAAAATTCATATTGAATTTGGAGGTTCGGACGAAACCCCCCACAAGCTTAAAAAGCTATTTTAAAATTCTTTTGTTATGAACTGTTTTTGAGATTATATGTGATATTGAGATTAGTACTGTTGTTATGAACTGCTCATACTAGCAGCCAGTTCTAACACACTATGCCTGTGTAATGAACTAATTCTGGTTAAACATTTTATTTAGGTCCGCATTATGAAAAAACGAACCCCCTATTTGTAAGGCAGCCTACGGGCCTGAAAATTCACTAATAAGGAAAGTTTAAACGTACATCAACAACATGAACAGCATATAGTCGATTCGCCTGCGCATTTCTGCACAGATACTGTAATAAAGTTCAATAACGACTTCCCTTCTTCAACGGGAGCCAATTACTAGTAATGGGCTCCTGACTTCAATAGGTATTTGGCCAAAAAAGCACAGATTCTGAGCCCGTTTACTTTAGACGTTACTCCCCTCTTTAAGCACATAAAATTAGATCCCCCCCTGGAATCTCAACCTCCCCTCCTGATAAATGTTGCGCAGTCCCTAATAAATGTTTATAAATTTCATAAAGAGGTGAGTGGTCGGCTTGACTGTTGCTAGTTTCGGCTCTGAAATTGCCTTTCTTCTTAGGTTTATGAATTCTACTTGAAATTATCGTCATAAAACGGAAAACAAGATGTTAGTAATGTGATTTCTAAAATGAACGATTTTGCTACCATGCAAAAAAATGTGAACGAAGTCTGCTATTTTTGCTTTTAATTGTGACTATATATTTTTTTTACAAACGTTCTTGAAAGTATATGAGCTTTAAACATTAAAAAAAATGACAGCCGAAAAAAAGAAAAAAAAAGTTGTCGATAGAGGTTTGATATATATTTCCTGTTTCCTAGTCGATCCCTAAAAATTCCAAAGATTTACAAAGTGACGTGATTTTGAGTGAGGCATGAATTTAGTGTTTGTGATCAAACTTGATTGATTTCACAGTTTTTGAACATTTTCCTAACTCAGGCCCGAAGGGCCCCCTACAAGCTTAAAAGGTCCGGTATCTCTCTTTTTTTATTGTTCAATTTTAAAATTATTTTGTTATGAACTGTTTTTGAGTTTATTTTGTTATGAACTGATCACACTAGAAGCCAGGTCTTACACACTATAGCTGTGCACTGAAAATTTAGTTAAACATTTAATTTAATTTGCGAAGTTAGTTTCTAATGAAAAATAATAGTACTGCTGAATCCATGCCACAATTACTGCATAACTGGCTGGCTAAAAAGCACTGTGATATCATTTCCTAACCACCTCGGCCACCCCATCCCCCCGGGTCCCTAAATCGCACCTTTTATTCGCCACTCTAAACACTCACTTATGATAATCATCACAAGTCTGTTATCTCTAATATTTACTTTGCTATGATTTTGATAATAGATATAATCA